TTTTCTCAGATTCTTTCATATCATGTGTCTCACAGCGTAATTATTGAGCTAAAATAGTTGTTCGTGTGAACTTTATTTTGTGGCATACGTGTCCGATCCAAGTACTTCGAAATACTTGGGAGAGTTCAGTGCCCTTTAAAGACAGAGTCTTTCATATAGAGGTAACGCAAAATAGTGTATTTGTTGAAAAAAGCAGTGCTAATAGTTTTGTGTTCTTGCTGACTTGTCTTGCTCAGATAATTGTCACGTGAAAGAATGGACTGCCGGCCTTATAATGGGTTTCTAGGTGCTTAGATGATTAATTGCTTTAACATTATTCCCACTACACGAATAAAATAATGATTTCAGATTTTACAAAATATGGCCACGGGTGATTAGTTTAGTATATGTTCACAAAACGTATAAATTTAGGAACGCCGTTCTCATTACAGAAACTCAAAGACAGAATCCGAGTGAGAGACTGCAGAAGCGTGCGTGCGTGTGTGCGTGTGTGTGTGTGTGTGTGTGTGTGTGTGTGTGTGTGTGTGTGTGTGTGTGTGTGTGTGTGTGTGTGTGTGTGTGTGTGTGTGTGTGTGTGTGTGTGTGTGTGTGTGTGTGTGTGTGTGTGTGTGTGTGTGTGTGTGTGTGTGTGTGTGTGTGTGTGTTTGCGTGTGTGTTTTAAAGCAACGCGTGACGCATAGGACAACATGAGACCTTCCTGGAAAGGCTCTTATGGCTAAATGGTGTATTTTTGTGATCGTCGCGTTTATTGGGGGTCTACATTGCCGCAATTTGTATTAATAATAATAATGCAATTAAGATATGTTAATACGTCGTTTTTCAAGCTCTAATATAGTTTGTTGCTTATGATCTAATTTCAAATAAGGTGAACAAGTGTGGCAAACAAAAGTGTGCAAATTATCATCACTTGTGTCATTCGCAGCATTCTTAACTAGCAAGTTAAAAAATTAAGATAATTTAAAATCAATGAAAACATACTAGTAAATCTGAGAAATCGACGTAAAATTACATTAATTGTGGGTAAAGCAAAGGATGCTATCAAAGTCGCTACTTTTGACAATAGGCAAAACTTCCAAAGTCACCGCCAATCCTTCCAAACCAAATGCCTAAAAAAAACTGCTTACAGGTCATTATTGACGACACCTTCGGGATGTTAAACTCCTTTGTATCATAATACCTAGACCCAGGCAATTGCGTGATCAAAATGTAGAAAAGTATGTCGATAAATTTTTTCAGCTCTTCCTCTGACGAACCCAAGGGACTGTTCGGTCAATTGTGGACACTGTAGAAATTGGATTGCTCTACGATCAGGTCATTGAGGGAACTTGTACAGTGGCACATGAAGAATTCGTGCGGTGTTTCTACGTTCAGTATGCTCTGTGGTATGTCCTCCAGTCCCTCGAAGTCAACAGATGTTATGAAGTACTCACAGTTTTCCAAACTGACCTTCATTGGACTTTCCTGCCTCCGAAAGGTGCTGGAACTCCTTGTGGTGTCGTCCGAGAAGACGTTGATGCCCTTGAATGAACAAACGACGAGTTGTCATCAAAGTCCAAGTTCTCCGGCTGGGATCCCGTATCCGAATCTAGCACATAGCCAGCAGAAACGTCTGCTGAAAAGAATTAGAGCAGATGAGGCACAGCGCTTCAATGACTTCCTAGAACGAATTTAGTTATACTTTCTCGTGTTCGTCACGGCTTTCGTTCAAGGTTGTTACGAGTACAAACGAACTAAACATCCAACGAACTTTGAACCAGATGATTTCTATAAAAAGTGCGCAAGCATACATACAGTCTACGCCGTCATGCCCACCCAGTTCGGAATCTTCACTTTCGCTTGGTATGCGCCAAACACGCCAGCTCTTGCGCTTATAGAAAGCACTGGGATCCCCCTGAGAGAACAAAGCCAAATGTCCACACAAAGTTTCTTTAAATCAGGTATTACAGCCGTACAGCAACCACCGTATTAAGCGGTATATTAGACGGCGGAAACCAACTACGGCTAATTACGGCGTTATGTTACCGAATGGTCACGAACCCAAATCCTCCCTGCATTTAAAAAACAACCAATCGTTTGCCGATCTGTACTGTAAGAATCGGTGTTCTATCCAAGATTGAACACAATTTTTTTAAAACAACAATTACGAAGACGTTTGACAGTAATACATCATTAAAAACTCACGAAGTCATTGGAAACCACGCCGGCACGGCCCCTCGAAAACAACCAGCCGGGTGCTCCCTTCTGGTTGGAGAAAGTTGGAACTAGCGGAATCTGAAAATTGGCGTGTTACCAAAGGGTCGTTTGGCGCGTGGGGAGCAGTTTGTTCGTAAAATACCTTCATAGTAAGTATGGGTATGAAATGTTACCATATGCTAACGTCGCTCCAGAGAGGGTTAGTGTTGCGCTTACGAGTGAACCCAAGCACTCTGTGTTTGCGCGTTCCACACTGCACGTGTGCGGAGCCCAAAATGGCGGTCTTGGATTGGAGCGTGGCGACGACGCGCATGCGCAGCGTGGAGCATGCAGCTCTAACGCAAACGTACAGCGCTTGCGTTAGCTTCTTCTATGCGCACACTACACTGGGACGGTGGATGAGTGTTGCTGGCATTCGGAAAGAACATTTCGCGACTGATGATCGCGAGCAGTTCCGCCTTGCCCGCTGAGCAAGAGAACCGGGGAACCCTCGCTAGTGTGCTTCCCGCTTCCGCCGCGGGAGGGCGAGCTACGAGCTGGAGACGCGAATAGTGTGCCCAGATTTGATTGTTTTGAGCTGCTCAATCGTTGTTACGTGGCTTATGAGTGAGAGGGGAATAAACGAAACAGCCACTCGTCTGCGAGTGCCGAAGCCTTATTGCGGCCTCTCCGCCCTCAATCCTCCTCGCGACGCGAAAACGGACGTATACGCTCACGTGCAACCAATATGCGCAGAAGATGTCCCCCATCAAATTGCAAGAACGTTCCGTGCTTTGAGTGGCGAGCTCTATCGAGTTTAGGTTCTCTTGTTCTCGCGAACGGGACACTCGTAGAAACGTGCTCAATAATCGCTGGTCACTCAGCGAGGTGGATATCAACGAGGGAAATACAAATCTGGCGCCAAACGTGAAGGCGGCTCGTGGAAGAGATGGCGTGAGATGATTTAACGTGCGGGGGACCTGGTCGCACGCTTTGTGCCGGTGCCCACAACGTCCGCGCAAGCCGCCGAGGCACATATACTGCGTTTTCTTAAAGCCCCACCTGTTGCGTCCTCAGCAAAAGGACACTCCAGCGCAAAACACTGCTCAAATGCACACTAATGATGCTTATTTCTTCGCGCGCAGCAAAATCATGCGTTAAAATTAAGATGAAATGTGGAGCGTATACACTGTGCATATGTCTCGAATAAAGAATTTGCACGAAGACACGCAGTTTGTGTTAACACTAGTCATTCTTGACAACGTTAAAAAGAGCCAGTGGTAGCACGAGCCTTTCAAGATGAAGGAACTCAGTGAAGTCAACGTATAAAATATCACGCGTTCTTGTTGTAAAAACATGTTATTTACATCGAATGTTTCCTCTCGTAGTGATACCCAAATTCGCGATTCAGCCGGCCGGTGTGTGCCAATCCACGTAAGCCCGTGCTTACGGTCACACACACACAGAAAAAAAAAATGAGAAAGTTTTGATAAGAAGCAAACTTAGGAAGGCTTGTTCATCCATGACATATCACAGTGTGTACGTGCTTTCTGGAGAAAGCGCGGGTCTTGAGCCCGCTTTCAGGGGCAGAGCGCCGCTCCGTCGCAGCGAATACCTCCGGAGGAGACTCCGCGAGCTCTTCCGATTCCAAATTGCGGGCGATCAAGAAAAAAAAGTATCTCGTTTGGATTCCCGTTTGTATAAATATCCCGGCGGAGGAGTCGTCGTCGGCGCCGCTCTCTCCCCGGTTTCGTCACTCGCTTCGCGGGTACGCACCGCTGCCTCTTCCATTGCACGTACGCGTGCACTCGACGCGCTTCGTCTCTCTAGGCGTTTGGGCAACCCCGGCCTTCTGGGGAAGTTCGCACCATATTCGTTTAGGTTGCTCGGAGAACTACATTTCCACGGCTACTGTTATCAAATCTGTCACACTGCTTATGCATCATACCACAGAAGACAGTCCGCATACCGATTCGAATGCGAGTCATGGCGAGATCCGTGCTTCGAATGCCGCGCGGCAGTGAGTTCGAGGAGAAAACTTGGCACTCGGCATTCGAACCACGGATATTGCGGTGACTCTTGTTGGCAGACTTTCTTTTGTATGATGTTTGAGCAGTGTGACACGGGCCTCAAGGAAACAATCTGTCTAAAGGAGCAAGACGTATACATCAGTGGTTGATGCGTGCTAGTTGGAATCGCCACTCGTTCGTGAAAATACCGGTGCCAGCGGTTAGTTGCTTGGATCTTTAATACTACACCACGCCATTTACTGTTTACGCTATTAGAGGGCTTTCGTTCTTCGTGTATCGTTATAGGGGAGTATAGGAGGTGTCGAACCGATCTGACTATAGTCCGTTGGAACTCAAGAAGGTAAGGCGAGGAACACCCGGGAGAAGGAAGCAGACCGAACACTGGAGAGAGGAGGAGATTTCCTTCTCTCCTTTCTAGCGTTCTGTCTGCTTCTTTTTCCCTGGTCTTCTTTTCCCTCGCCCTACCTTCTTGAGCTGTAACTTACTATAAAACTCTCCATATATTTAGGGTATAGAAGTTGCGGCATAATTTACGGTATAGAAGTTGCCCTTCCCTTCTTTTGGCTCCACTGTGTCCATCCCTACTCCTCCAATGTCTGTAGAGTGCGTGATTTTAAAACAAAATATCATAATGGTTACCATTACTAGTATTATTATTTCTAGTAGTAGTAGGGGTGCTTTATCCTGTTGTGTTTTTAGTTGGACGGCCGTCCACTCTTTTTTATGGCAATGACAGGTTTCGAAGAAAACAATTCGAACTGCGCGGCAATCGAACGTGCAATTCCTTTTTCTCCGCAGGTGCGAGAGACGCGGGCGGTGGCAGGGACACGGGCTGTGGCCCGAGGGCGAGGCGCCATGCTCTTCGGAGCCGGTGAGTGTATAGACCTTTTTCACAAGGGTGCCGCCATCTTGAAATGTCGTCACTTCCAGTATGGGCGAAAACATCGTTTTGCCGTCGCCACGTCAGTAGAATGCATTTAGGAGATAAGCGTAACCGTCAAGAATTCTCGTTTTGCCTCCCCTCTATTTTTTTACTATTTGCAGATTGAAACGTTTTATTATTTTTTCGTCGCCCATACCGGATATGCCTATTTGGTGGTCGGGGGCGAGAGTAAGTGGAAAAGTTTTATACGCACGCATTTCGCGCGGCAACGTGTCACCGCCGAGACGATAACAGGTGCCGCCAATAGCTGTCGTCACTAAAGCTGCGAACAATCTGCCGACACATCGTACAAAACACGTAGTCTGAATTGAGTTGGCGGTACTTGTAAGCGTGAATTCTATTAAGAGACTTTACGCATATCGTCTAATGTATTGCGGCAGTTCTGCTCAAATAATCAAAAGGAAAGAAAGAAACAGTTAACCCTTTTCGGCTTATTGTTTTCTGTCGACGCTTACTTTTTTTTTTACCAACATGTTCATAGACAAAGTGGGTGCCTTTAGGTTGTTTTTCTTGATCGTTGTGAGCTGCAGGCTTTTTACCTTGTGTGGCCGTATCCACTAAAAAGCTTTTCACAGCCACCCTTTCGCATTGACACAGTATGATTTGAAGATAATTACGATTATCGTGTTTTAACTTTTGGCGAGCGATTCTCACTTCAAGTATTTTGCCAGCAAGGAGAGTGGCACACAGCCAATGCGCGTCGCAGCTCGTGCAAGTACGAAGGTCGCTTCCCGCAATGCTTGGATAGAAAATGCCGCCGCGATTCACACGATATACCACGAACTCCGCACTTTCCTTCGTCCCGTTGCTCGGCAGCGCCATATGGGTTATATAATGAATTTTACGACAATGTGAAACGCGGGATTTTTAAAAAAAAAATTTGGTATTTCTAGCAGGACGTGGAACACCAGCCGTTAATATGGTAGAGTAGCGCGAGTCGTGGAGCGGGCGGTCACCTTGTATTTACGGAGTATTGGTGCAAGGTGACCCCCTAAAAAAAAAAGGAAAAAAAAAACGCTTTTTTTTTTTTTACAAATTTAGTAACAAACATTTAAAGTTATACTTGCGTACTGCGAGCTGAGAGAGCCAGCGGCGGCTATCATTCATATTGTACAACGCGCCCCCTCGTCATAAAACATTTCGAACCCGTCATAATGTCCCTCGTGGGTCTGTAGAATAATCCCAGAGTCGCGCGGGCGAAAATCCAGAAAATTTGAGCCACAAAGAAACAAATACGAAGCGACATATTCAAAGTGAACGCGCTCTTCCTCCATTCACTGCAAAAAAAAAAAAAAAAAAAAAAAAAAAAAGGCGCAGCATCGCGTAAAACCCGAGTTCCCCAGAGTTGTTCGAAATTCCCAAACGTCATCGATGAGAGCGGCGCTCCGCCGCGCGTCGCGCTCGTCGCCGGTTGTTGGAAAGCGACGGGGCAACAACAACGGCCACTTCGGAGTTGCCTTGGGAGACGCATTTCCGTCCGCGGGGGGACACGAACAGACTCCCATTTTACAAAAAATCCTAGATTCGTTTATCTCGCATGCTCAAAAAAAAAAGAAAAACAATAATCATAATCATAATAACAATAAAAAGAAGGAAAACCGATCGGAACGTCGCGTCCCCCGTCCAACAAGATGCGACGACTGCGCTCCCTCGTGACGAAGAGGGGAAGCAAGAACGCGACACGCATTCGACTCGGGCCCCCGCGGATCCCGAATCAAGAAGAGGAAGATGAAGGAATAAAAAGAAACAAGATTTAAAACCGAACGACTCTAATACACAGAGGGACATTTCGTTCTGCAGCGCGCATCGCCGTATAGATTGGACGAGCGGCGCAGGCGGGCAGACGGCGTCTTCTGCCAGCGTCAGAATTGGAATGGTCCGTGCCGCTGTTCGCCATGCAGGTATCGTCCGCGAGGTCATCAAACAATACCGCTGGGACACGCGGGGCGGCGGTGGCGGAATGCAACGAGCGACTTGGAGGGGGGAAAAAAAAAACCGGGAAGATTGGAGAGCTGTCGGAAGACCGAGCCGTCCGGTTTCCCGAATGGGGACCACCGGCGCTGGTCGCGAAAGGAAAGAGCTATCTCGCCTGAAGGTTCTCGCCTCCTCTTCGTTGTCCGGAAGGGACGGAGAATGAGAAATCGAATAAACAAACCCAGGGAGGCGCCGTGAAAATTTTAAAATTTGGGGAGGACTTCCTCCGATGAGGAGATTGTCGTGGCGGGTCGCGGAGCCGCTCGTAAAATGGGGAAAAGCGTAAAGCGAAATGCGTGTCTGTTCCTTGTTCATTGGCGTCTTTGTCTGATTGTTTGCGGTATGTCGATATAAAACGCGTCTGCTTTGTCTCGCGGAGAAGCTTTGGTATCTTTGCATCTGATCTCGGATAGCGAGCGTTTCGGGAGATTTCTGCTTCGATGGCGGACGGTGTCGCTCGCGAAGGCTGCCGCCGCGCCTCGGGGTGATGTGATGTAGGCGAGGAGGGATATGCTTCGAAGGTTTCGGACAATGACAACACGCTACGTTCCGTCCGGAGTACGCTCAAAATATCACGAGCGATTCGTTTTTGGTTTAACACTTTACTCGACATTAGGGTATTTATTTCGGTGAAATAGTGGTTTTCAGATGCAGAAATAATTCCAAACTATAGCACAAAAGATTAAAAACAAAAAAAAAAGTAGCATCCGCAATCTTTTTTATTTATATTAAAGGGACCATGAAATGATTTTTCAACTTCTTCCTCCTTAGCTTTAATTTTCAACTCAAAAGGCTCTCATTCCGAATAGGCACCCAGCCAGAGTTGCGCGTGTGTTTTCCAGGTACCGCCGCGTCGCTATTCGCCGAGATCGATCACGTGACGAGCAAAGAATCCTATGCTGTGCAGGAAAGTTTCTGATGTGGTCGCGTCGACGACGTTGGACGGGTCCTGGCGTATGTTCTCCTGCCTTTGTCTCTTTCTCCTCCTTTTCTTTTTCATGCGCGGCGTCGCTATTCGCCGAATTCGGTCACGTGACCGTCTGCAATAGACGGAGCACGGCTCCTACACGCGCGATGAGTGGCTTCCCCGGATAACTTAGGATTTTAAGATGGCTGAGCTCGCAACTCGGGGTTCACACCACGGAACTTGACATCCGCAAGTGATGGTAAGTGCCTTCGCGGCACTCATTGGCCACAAACGCGAGCGAGTTCAGGTATTCGTCGACGGATCGACTGCTGCCGACCGCACACGTACGAGTAGCGCAGTGCCCGTGTCCAATACGTCAGCCGGGTGGCTGGTTTCGGCCGATGTGCTTGAGCACCGCGGATACATCGCAGTTAAAAAGCGAAGAGCTTTCGATCAAAAAGTAGTAACAAACAGTGCAACATATTTTCATATTTTCATACCAAAAAGCAGGCTTTGGACATTCTTACACCATTTTTTATTGACCCACAAACGATATGCGATTCGTGAGACCCCAGAACCGGCCTTAATTAGTGCCACCATCAAGGAACGCGCGCTGTCGGTAAAGACACGGCTATTCACTCACTACAAACTGCGATTGGGTAGCATTCATGCGTGTCCCCAGTGGGACCCCTTGCTGACGAGCGACAACTCCCGTATAACAAGGTCGCAGCGCTGGGTTTTTCGACGTCACCAACAGGAGGCTAGCGCGCACAACTGCTTCATAAGCAGTCGGCCGAAACTCTCGTTCAAAGGGGAAAAAAACAACAACAAAAGAAAACGCTCTCCGTGACTTGGTGTGAAGCCATAGTCATTGAGAGATCCAGAAACGCACGGCATAGCTTATTACGTGACATAATTTATCTTTCAGCTTTCTTATCGTCTAATGCAGAAATCCCATTGGCTGCGGAGCCGTACAAATATGCTCGTGAATCGCTACCCCCTGCATTCCTTAAGCCCTCAATGAGTCTCGTTGATTAAGTCGCCCTAGGCACTCTCGTAGTTCCTTATCTCTCACGGCACGGAAGTACAAGCCTCAGCGGCTTCCTGGGACGAAGCCGGCATCAGATGAGCGTGTCTCGGGCTCTCTGCGCGCAACGCCTGGAGGTAGCCCTCAGGGGCTTCGAATGTCAGGAGAAGCACCCCGTATACTTACACTCCGTTTCACCTTACCGATGGACCGCAGCTGACGCTGCGGACTAATCGAAGCCAATCCAACGCCTTATAAATGTCACGTGGCCTTTGGGAAAGGCGCGCGGGGCACGTGGTCACGTGACACATTTGCGGCTCTGGATTGGCTGGGAACGCTCGTACGGTACGGTGCGGTCCAGCGCGATGTGGATCGTAGTCGTTCTGGCCAGCGGGGCTGAGACAGAGAGAGAGCGCCGTGACGGGAGCCCATCTCGGGGCCGGATCGCGCGATCCGACGGGAACACGCACAAATCAGAGCGGACAGCGGACTCGCATTAGTATGGACTCCCCGGCGCGATGGCTTGCGCAGATACGGGACGGGGGGGATAGCTGAGCTTCCCTTCGTCGGGAATCGATGGTGGGCGATTCCGGGGCACCCCTTCCTGCTCTGCCGGAGCAGAGAGACGCTCTCGGGACATGACCCGCATGGGCAACACGGTGAGACGGCGAGCGCGGCGGAGGAGGCCCGCCGAAATTGCGACGGGGTGGGGCTTTGCGCGCCGAGTGCGGGCCTCGTCGAGTAGAGAATCGAGGCCCTTCTCCGCTCTCCCCTTCGAACGCCCAAATAAGAGATCCGTAAAGCGGTTCGGGGTCCTTATCGCGCCTGCGGGACGGTGTGCCTCGATTGCAGAGCGTTTCCAACTCGTCGATCAAGGTTCGCGTGGCGAACGGGCCGAGTTTGAAACAACAGCTGAGAGGAAGAGTCAAAGGCGTCGATCGCCCGCAAGCGTCCCCCTCCTCTGCGAACGCTTTCTCCCTTGACCCGCGTCAACGTGATGCGTGCCCACTTGCGACCGAT